TCCTTACTCTGAGTGTACCTTTAAATGTCTATTGCCTACCAGCTTGCCTGCCTTTTTGCTTGCTTGTTTTTTTTCCTAGATATTCAGAAATACAGATCACAGCTCATAAAGCATTGTTCTAAGGCCTTGTATTAGCAGGATATTTTAGGATGCTTATCTTTTTCAAATTGTGACTTTACTGCAGGGGAGCACTTGCTGCTGTCTGACATAGCATCCTATTCTTCAGTTCCTTTTCTCACTTGCCAAGACTCATTTTTAGAAGCTGCAGGGACATTTCAGATAGAGATGCTGTATGAAATCCTGTAATTAGAAGATTGCTGTATATACTTGAGTATAAGCTTAGTTTTTCAGCCCTTTCTTTAGGCTGAAAAAGTCCCCCTTGGCTTATACGCGAGTCAAGGTTATTTATTATTTTACTCTGTTGTTGTTGTTGTTGTTGTTATATTTATTATTTTGCTCTATTTATTATTGTTATTATTACATTTATTATTTTACTCTATTATTACTGTTATTATTACATTTCCATTATTTTACTCTATTATTATTATATTATCATTGTTACATTTATTATTTTACTCTATTATTACTGTTATTATTACATTTCCATTATTTTACTCTATTATTATTATTATATTATAATTGTTACATTTATTATTTTACTCTCTTTATTAAAATTGGAAGGATACGTAAGCACATTTATGTTGAAGAAGGTTAGAATAATGGTTTAATCAGAGCTGGGCAGTTTTAAATTGGAGTTTTATGTAAATATTCAAAAATATTTAACCTATCGATGCTTAAATTAATGTAATGTTATTGGTATCTATTTTTTTTTTTTAAATTTGCCAGTAGCTGCTGTATTTCCCCCCCTCGGCTTATACTTGAGTCAATATGTTTTCCCAGTTTTTTGTGGTAAAGTTAGGTGCCTTGGCTTATATTCGGGTCGGCTTATACTCGAGTATATACTTAGCCCATATATGGTGATTATCAAAAATATTTTCATGTATGGTCATTAGCAAATATATTTTTAATATCTCTACATAGCTACATCACCATTTCCTGGAGCAAAGGTGTATAAGGAGGGAGGTGTACAGAAGCGAGGCATGAAAGGAGTGTTTTGTGGGTGTTGGGATAGTGAGAAGGGGAGCAGATTTTGGTTCCATTCTCTACTTACTTTTGATAAACTGAATGGTGATACTAAGTTACCAGCTGCAACTGTAGTATATTTGTGTTCGTCTTCGAAAATGTAGGGAAAAACTTAAATCCTAAAGAACAGGAGAATTTCCAGCAGACTAGAGGAAAGTAAATGTTGTCCCCATCTTAAAAAAAAATAAAAAGAGGGTGAGGACCCAAACAATTACCACCCAGTCAGGCTGACATCAATACCATCTAAGTGCAAAATTGAAAATAATGTCAGGAACTCTTCAGTAAATTATTATAATTAATGTTCTCTATATAGTTACATATTTGGCAAATGTTCATTAAATATCAGCTATATGTAATTTGCATCCAAAAATATTTTATATTTAGTATTCACCTATTTTGGCCTATATTGTTATTTAGCACTTGACAGTAATAACATAAAATAGCATACTATGATGTTTCATATTTGTTCATATGATGTTAAGTGTTCTCAAGTTGATTTCGTCTTATGGTGACCACGTAAATGAGAGACCTTTAAGTCAGCCTCTCAACAATAGCCCTGCTCAGGTCTGGCAGATTTAGGGCCTTACCTTCTTCCATCTGTAATCGGGGTGGGGTGGGGGGGGGGGTGTTTCTCTTTTCCTACTGCCACCTATCTTACAGATAATCTTCTCATCACTAGTCTTCTCATGATATGACCAAAGTATGACAGTCTCAGTTCAACTTCTAAGGAGAGTTTAGGTTTGATTTGCTCTCAGATTAGTTAAAGTTTTCTCAAGTTAGTCTCAAATTTTCATGGCTCTTTCTCTTTCTATCAAATGTTTTGTTGTATTTATTTTTTTAAAAACTCTCATAAAAGCTTTACTAGCATCCCATCCTACTATCCATCCCTTTATTCAAGTTCTCTTCAAAGAATAGTTTTAACAGCATCTCAACTTTCAAAACCACTTTCTCATCTTGTAATAATTAATCCTTGAGTCTCCAATTGAATATCCCTTTTTTGTTAGATTAAACCAAAGCAACAGGGCTGTGGTTAGAAATTGTTGTGGGTAGAGTTGTCAAGCTTTCAATTTTATGACTGATGGTTTTAGATATCAAAAACATATTGATACTGGAAAATCTTATTGCTGAGAAAAGGGTGTATTCCTCTGCTTTATAATATCTTTTCCTTAATTCAAAATAAGATTGGTCCCCTTTAATCTTTTTCTCAGATAATCTGTCCAGTTTAGGTGATATCACTCCATTTCATTCTCCCATCAATGTCATATTTCATAGGAGAATTCATTAATTTCTGCTAAAATTTTGATAGAATTCTGATTTTGCTCCTGTAGAGGCATAAATATCAACTATCAGAGTTTTTGTCCCCTAAAGCTGTATTAATATAGCCCATTATTGTCCTGAAAATTTTTGTCATATGTTTCTTATTGATGTAAATTGCATCTCATTTTCTTATGCATCCAAGCATTAAAAATATGACCACAATTTCAAATTAGTGATCAATTTCATCTCTTCTTCATATGTTTGTTTCCTACAGACATTTCAGAATTCATTTTTTCTGAATAATAAAATGCCTAAAATGCCAAACATTCCGAGGCCATATTTTTATATCCAACATCTAGTTTTATAAATAGCAAAGTCCATGTCTGTTTCACCTCACACTAGCTGATTTTCTGTTTGTGTTATTTGTTATGCTCCAGAGATCTTGTTTTGGTGTGTGATCAGTTTTTTCCTAAACTCCAGCATAGCATCTTTCAATTGCTTCTTCGTCAGCCTCAGTCATTGGCGTATTAAATTAGATGACGGGTTATCCTTGAAATTTGACTGATAAGATTCGATCACAATTTGCATTATATCTTTTCATAGAATCATTGAGTTGAAAGAGACTGCATTGACCATCCAGTCCAATCCCCTTCCATGCAGAAAATGTACAATAATGCACCCCAATAGATGGCCATTCAGGTTCTGTTTCAAAGCCTCCAAAGAAGGAACTTCCACCAGACTGAGTCAGTGAGTTCCACTGTTGAGGAAGTTCTTCCTCATGTTCAGATGGAATCTCCTCTCTTGTAGTTTGAAGCCATTGTTCAGTGTCCTAGTCTCCAAGGAACTCTCTGCCCCAGAGTGTGGTGGAGGCTCCTTCTTTGGAAGCTTTTAAACAGAGGCTGGATGGCCATCTGTCAGGGGTGATTTGAATGCAATATTCCTGCTTCTTGGCAGGAGGGTTGGACTGGATGGCCCATGAGGTCTCTTCCAACTATAGGATTCTATTATTCTATCTATCTATCTATCTATCTATCTATCTATCTATCTATCTATCTCTATATATATATATACACACACACACACATTCATACGAGGGGTATTTTTTAAGTAAGGTCCGTTGGAACATAAGTACACAACGAAAGTTTATTTCAAAAAAGTAAATTTATTTTCAGAAAGTACATACTTCACTCTATTTTTCGACATAGTTGCCAAGTTTGTTCAAACACTTATCATACCTCTGAACCAATTTTAAAATACCCTCTTCATAAAAACTTGCCGCCTGCTCCGATAACTAAATCGTCTGTAATCAAAGAGGGAGCGGTCCTCATCATGGACGTTGTCACGGCCATCTTTGAATTGTCGTACCCACTTACACTTTGCTTTCACTCATAACAGTATCACCGTACACTTCACAAATCTGTCGATGAATTTCTGCAGCAGGCAGGTTCCTTGCTGACAAAAACCGTATCACTGAGCGAACCTCACATGCGGCGGTGAGTTGATAGTCTTAAACATTTTTAAAGCACAGAACAGAACCGCACAGGTTAGCTACAGAGCGGAAACTGAGCACAGTTGTTCCCGAGGCATGCCGGTACACAACACACGTGCTTGTTGCGGTATGCGCGCGAACTACTAGTGTCTACAACAAAACGGACCTTACTTTAAAAATACCCCTCATGTGTGTGTGTGTATAGTGTGTGTGTCCCTACTTGTCCCTACATGCGCTCGTGGTATGCGCATGAACTACTCGTGTCTACAACAAAACGGACCTTACTTAAAAAATACCCCTTGTGTGTGTGTGTGTGTGTGTGTGTGTGTATAGTGTCCCTACTTCTCAGATTTTCACTTCTCACGGGTGGTCCTGGAATGTAACACCTGCAATAAGTGAGCGAACACTGTATGTAATTTCCTATAAGATGAGACAATTTACTATTAGTCTTTACATCCGTGCAATGGAACTGTAGAACCAGAACCAAATCTGGTGGAGTTATAATTAACATGTTTTTATATTCCTTCAAGTCATTTCTGGCTAATGCCAACCCTAAGGTGAATGTATTGTGGAGTTTTATTTGCAAGGTTTGTTCAGGCAGGGTTGCCTTTGCCTTCCTCGGGGGCTAAAAGAGGGTGGTTTTCCCAAGATCCATGGCAGAGCGGGGATTCGAACCCTGTTCTCCAGAATCATAGTCCAACGTTCAAACTGCTATGCCGTGCTGGATCTGGTTAACATTTGCCAAATGTTCAATGTGGCATTTTCTGTTAGTCACTATCATTATATTTGTTTGGCCTTTCCTTTGGCGCCTCCACTATGGAGAGAATCCAAGTGTTGCTTTTTAAGTGGCAAGCATGCTAAGTGTCTCTTCAGTTCCCATGCTGAGCAGTTAATCTGGGATTTCTTGGAGAGTTGATTTAGCATTCTTGCAGTGCTTTTTTCTTCACCTTGTGCTTTTGTGGCATATAATTGATTAGTTGAATTTGCTGACTGCTTTTAATTGGGGCAATTAAAACTGTGTCGGTTTGAATGGGTTTTCTAAAATCATATTGGCTTGATTGACCTTGTATTGTTTTGCTTTTTTTTCTGTCTTCCCACTGGGCTGCTCCAGGAGCCATGGCTAACCATCTTATAACCAATGCTCTTCTTCGTCCTCATGGCACTAACAACCCTTATAACACATTGCTCGGGGAATCGGCCGTCTATAACAACCCTTCCGTCAGCATGTACAACACGCCAGGTGTGATGGAGTTTCTCTCATTTTTCTAGTGAGAGTCCCATTTTATGTGGTTTTTTTATAGACACAATTTTTGTTTTTCCCCCCACTTTATCTCCTCCCTCCCCATTCTTTTTCCTCAGTACAAATAATTATTTCCTCAGCCATTTCAGAACATTTTCACTTTTCCCAAGGCTTTTTTTAAAGGATCTAAATTAATTTTGAAATATACCCATTCATCAGCTCTAATTAGATGAGTGTTGCTTTATTTTAGTCTTTGTCGTGCATATGTTTAGTCTCTTGTATTCATCATTTATCTCACCTATATTTCTTTGTTAAATCATTCATTTAAGAAACAGGAATGCTATTCAAGGTAAGTAATGCTAAAATAGCCTGTTAGCACCCAAATACTGTTGGTTTTCAAAATTCAGAGTGTTCCTATTGTCTCACATTTTAGTGTTTCTATTGTCTCACATTTTAGTGAAGTAAAATCACCAATTCAACTTGTGTAATTGGGTTTAAATATGATTTAAATCAGTCGGGTTTAGTTAGTCAGAAACCACTGATTTCCGCGAAAAGGGTGTAACTATCTTTAGTTGGATGGCTACCTAGAGATAGGAAAAACCAAAAAGAAAAATGGGTTCCCCTGAAACTGTGGAGACCAAAATCCACTGATTGTGGTAATATGAAAATAACTAAATTAACTCAATGTATATATTACAAATACACATATCAAAAAAACTGCCACATTCACATTAAGTAGAAACAACTGGTTCTTCTCTTGAAGTATAAAACAAAGTCTTCGTTTGAGAAAATGTCCTGTTCTTTATTACATATGAGTAGACTCCAGTAGTCACATGAATTGGAATTGTGTCTCAAGGTTGGTCTTTATCAGTTATTTATATGGCTCGCAGTGGTCTCAGGAAGTTAGTGAAGGTACTGTGAGTCCCATCATCTGTGGTCCATCCTCCTCCAAACTGCACCAGGATGGAGAGTGGGTCATGGGGGCTCTGTGTGCTAAGTTTGTGTCTTGATCAGTCATTGGATGAGGGTCACAGTGGTCTCAGAAAGTGAGTTAAGGTACTGCAAGTCCCATCATCCATCGTCCGTCCTCCTCCTAAAAGCACCAGTTGGCCATGGGGGCTCTCTGTGCCAAGTGTGGTCTTTATTGGTATTTGGATGAGTGTCGCTGTGGTTTCAGGAAGTGAGTGAAGGTACTGCAAGTCCCATCATCCATCATCCGTCCTCCAAACAGCACCGGGATGTAGAGTGGCTCATGGCGGCTCTGTGTGTCAAGTTTGGTTGTGATCTGTCATTAGATGAGGTTTGCAGCAGTCTTGGAAAGTGAGTGGAGTTACTTGAAGTCCCATCATCCATGGTCTGTCCTCCTCGAAAGTACACCAGGATGTAGAGGGGGTCATGGGGGTTCTGCGTGCCAAGTTTGGTCTTTATCGGTCTTCGTTGGGGGCCACAGTGGTCTGTGGGAACCGATGGGTTTGAAAGTACTACAAATCCCATCATCTCTTGTCTGTCCTCCCCCAAACCTAACCAGGATGTAAAGGGGGTCATGGGGGTTATGTGTGCCAAGTTTGATCCAGGTCCGTCACCCGTACTGGTCACAGTGGCCTGTGAAATTGGCAGCCAATTAGAAAGCTGCCGCATACACCGTCCTCCACATACAAACACTGACTTTTATTATATACGTAGATGAGTAGACTCCAGTAGTCACATGAATTGACTCCAACCTGCAACTGGTTTTGACTCACAAGTGCCTTCGTAGGGCAGTTGGGTCTACAAACAACACATATAATGAATACACATATACAATAGAACAATTTGTTATAACAAGTTTGTAAGAATATATACAGACACTCTACTTACACAAATTATAAAAAAAAAAAAGACTCAACTTTTGAGGTGAGAAATTCACCAACAGTCTTCTGGAGGGGTGGATCCTAAGGGGACATAGATAGTAACTAAAGGTACATTGTGACATGAATTATAAACCATACATAGAGAAATAGTATCTATGAAACAAAAATAATATAATACTCACAGCTATTCTTTGTTGAGCAATATTCCCTGCAAGGAGTTTTATTCTGTGGCGAGTACAGAACAGGACATTTTCTCAAACGAAGACTTTGTTTTATACTTCAAGAGAAGAAACAGTTGTTTCTACTTAATGTGAAGTAGCTCTAGTTACCTAGAGATAGGAGCCACTTTACATGGCTTCATATGGATTGAACAGAGTTTTGTCCTCTCATAAACTTCTAGAACAATGTAAAAAAACTTTTTTGGTAGAGTCACAGATGTATTTCTTCACTTTTGATACCTTTCTGAAATTTCCTCCCTCAAAGATACTAGGATATGGAAACAATACTTTATCTGGATTGTGTGGTCTTCTGTTGTGAAGTCTTTCAGCCTAAGAGACAAAATAATGATTCCGGCAAACATTTCATGTCTTGCAATAGATGTCATGTTTTGCTATATGTTTACTTCCATGAGATGGCTGGTACAGATTTCAAACTGCCATTGTATATATCCATTAAAAATACTGAAAGATTTTTTTTCCTAACAAATTTAATCATGCCTGAACAAGACCAAAATGTTGAGAATTACATTTCTATTTCCCATAACCTGAAAGTTTGTGTGCATGAATACTTTGTTCTCCCATAAAAGTTAATGTGATTTACACATACAAGATTTTATAATTATGTAATTTTTGCCTGCTGAGAATCAGATCCAGATAAAGATTGTCAGTTGTCTTTGGTTCCCATTGAAATAAATGGGTTTTAAATACTGAATAATTTGATTTTCACTAACTGCACAATCCTAGACACTTAACTCAGAAATCCTACTGACTTCTTACAGACTAACCTATTTAAGGCCTTTTTTTGGTACAAGGTTATTAAATTGTGTTCTTGTGTACCATAATTACTTCTTTCCCAATATTGGCAGGTATGATATTCCATTGATTGTGCATACATGACCCATGCTTTTAATTGTGAATTGTAAAGAAAAAGTGCCACCTGTTTCCTGAAAATGTAGTAAATAGCATTATAGGTTCAATTTAATAATTGAGGCTGATGGTATTTTTCTTAAAGGATTCCATTTATGTTGTTTAAGATGCATATATGCAGGGGCGGTTCAACCCATTACGCAAAGTAAGCATTTGCAGTATAGTTGATTTTGCCCAGGGGCGCTCTTGAGCGCTCTTGGGGGAAAATAGACCTTGACATATGCGAGTTGTAGTTACTGGGATGTATAGTTCACCTACAATCAAAGAACATTCTGAACTCCACCAATGATGGAATTGAACCAAATATGGCACACAGAACTCCCACGACGAACAGGAAAATATATATGAGTGATTGGTTGGGGGGGGGGGGCAAAAGTACTGTTTGCTTACACCTAGGGCCGCCTCGCACACCCTCGCCCTCCCCCCCACTCAGCCCCAGCTCTCCTACCGTCAGGTGGCATACTGTTTGCTTACCATTGAAAATTGCCTAGGGCCGCCTCTGCATATATGTCAAAAGTAAACCCAGACGATGAAGTAAATCAGATTCAGGCCCGTAGCCAGGATTTTGATTTGGGGGGGGGCAGAGTTTGATTCGGGGGGGGGGGGCTCAGGATCTACCTTTAGCAAAACTTTTTACAGAAGCCTGGTTTTATTAATTCTAGTTTAAATGCTGTCTCTTCTTTATGAGCTAGTAATAGGTTTGGTAAACCTTGATAAATCTAGTATTCTGTATTTTTCCTTTCCTTTACACTCCTTCATAGTTCTTGTTGTTTTTCTGTAATTTGTATTGTTTGTTTGGCTTCAGAAATTATATCTTTAAGATCTTGCTTGATTTTCTTCTTTTTGAAAAAAAAAACGTTTTTTATTCCAATAACATTTGCAAGATTTGTAACTGTGACAAAAGCAAAGACTGGAAGGAGTTAATTACAGTCATTCTAGAAACAGTGAATATAATTTAACTGCTGTTAAAACAGCTTGGTCCTGTATAGATAGTGAAATTTTACTTTCCAGCAGCAGATGGCATAAATTATTTACTTGTGGCAACTAGCTTATCTCCTCTATGAATGCAGGTTATTAATTACAGTCTTTATAATTCAGATTAGTCTTGCTCTAGGGCTTGTCTAAAAGGATTGTCCAATCTATATAAATAAAAATGTAATGTTCGTTTGTGCTATTCACAGAACTCAGAAACCACTGGGGCAATTGACACCAAATTTGGACACTATGTCCCTAACAACCCAATGTATGTTCTCCACTCAAAAAAAATGAAAACAAAAAGCAGAAAGGACTTCTAAACTGCATGTCCACAAAGGGGAAACTGCATGTCTACCGAGATCCATGGCCACGACCCCTCCTCCTCCTCCTCTCGGGGAAACAGCCGGCCGTTAAAGCCAGGCGCACGTGCATGGCCACACACACACACACAAGCGAGTGGAGTGGAGGTGGAGGCTTGCTGCATGCAGCCCCTTCTCTTCCCCTCCTATGTCAGGAGAGCAGTCTCCTCCTCCTTTCCCTGTTGGAAAGTGCCAGCAGCAGCAACGGAGTGCTCCACGCAAGGAAGAAGGGGAGGAGGAGGAAGAGGAGAGGGAGGGGGCGAGGAAGGTCCACGGTGCTTGAATGAAGGACCTTCCTTCTCTCCCTCCCTTCCCTTCTTTCCTCCCTTTCCTTTTTTTCCTTTTCTTCTTTCCTTCTCCTTTCTTTCCTTCTTTCCCTCCTTCCCTTCCTTCCTGTCCCTCCTTCCTTTTTCCTTTCCTTCTTTTCCTTCCTCCCTCCCTCCCTTTCCTCCTTCTTTCCCTTTCTTCATTTCCTTCCCCTTCATTTCCTTCCCTCCCTCCTTTCTTCATCCCCCTCCTTTCTTTCCCTCCTTCCTTCCTCCTCCTCCCTCCCTCCCTTCCTGTCCCTCCTTTCCTTCCTTCCTTCCTTCCTTCCTTCCTTCCTTCCTTCCTTCTTCCTTTCCTTCTTTCTATGTAAGATATAAATACAATATTAAATGGAAGGGACAGTC